TCTTAGGCTGAGAAAAAAACTGCCTAAGCGATATCGTTGTAAAACCTATTGACGCGTGTTTAGATTTTTCGCAATGTTATCCATCGAGAGTCGTATATAAAGCTGTAATACCAAACCGAATGAAATGTACACGTTGAATGCGCAAACGTTTTCGCTAAGTAATACAGTAGATACAGCATTTGTGCACAAACGATTAATATTGAACGAGGTCCGAAACGTTTGACGATGAGGGTTCGTCCCGTGTAATAACGGTACACTGCAGTCGACGGAGCGATAATTTAACGGTTCGCGGTCATACCGAAAACAAACTTCCGTTGAGTTTTCACGAAACTGATCGCGCACCATACAATACAAATAATTGACGGTCGTGCTGTAACTACACCGTAGGAAATGAAAATTAGAAAACCGTCGTCGGGTTCTCGTTTATTAACTAATTCAGTTGTTAACGCCTATCCGTCGCGTGCACGTCTACGTTGTATTGTAATAACTAATAACAACAGTGCGACACGTTCAAGTATGACGTACACGAATTCAAATCGATTGCGTTTTGTACCGTGAACTCAAAAACTCGAATAATCTCATCGAAACCCCACCGTGGATTATAATTTAATATACGTACACCTAAGGTGTGGTCTGAACATTTTCGCAGATTAAAATTTACGAAAAACGACGACTAGCGCGCGCGCACGTGTCACGCGAACAAAATATTTTCATCGTGTTCGAATCACCGAACAGCCGAGTGACATAAATACAATCTGTACCTATATAATATACACATTGATAAATATGTGTTATGCGTACATAGGTTATACCTACATACTTGGTCGGTCGAATATCGAATTCGCCCGTGACAATGTCGGTCAGAACATTTTGTCCGATGGCATTGATACCGTTCGTGCCTTGGCTGCAACCTTAGTCTTTCGACGTACCGTAGACGTACGTATGTAAGTTTACAGCTGGAATGCAATGGAAACGTAAACGTTGTGTCCGTATAATAACAATAACAATACTATTAATGCACAATGCGTTTTTGTAGCGCGGGCAGCCGTCCAAGCAGTTTGTCAAATATTTCTCGTCGCCAAAGTCCGGTAAGATGCCGACACGAGGAAATATAGGTAAACGCTCGAAGGTCATGTAGGCCAGCGCTTTATAAAGTGTGTTCCGCCGAGCTAAAGGGTTTCTCGAGGGTTCCGCGATTTATTTCATAATTAAATAATACATTTTTGTTATTTATAAATAAATAATATTTTGATTCAACATTACTTTTGTTCGGTCATCGTAAGAAACAATAATCTTAAGCAACGTACAAGGAACGTTTTTTTGTGAACAAATTTGTTTAACATTAGGTGTTCGGTAAATGAGTGAAAAATTGGTGTTGTACCAGAGACATCGGGGTTCGACGGAACACGAAATATTTTCTAAGGATGCCGCAGTCTTTTAAGTTTGGGAACCGCTGGTGTAATGTATAATATGCATAATATTGATAGTATCAATTGTGTCTTCTACAGTCTTCCTGCATCGTTTGGTGCGAGTGCAACGTCACTGAAAAGTGGAAATTAACGGCGAAACTGGTGACATTCTTGTTGACGATGTTTACATTTACTAGTTGGTAATAATTATAATTCGGTCGCTATTTTATCCCCTCGGAAAAAACATTTAATTTTACGTAATTTAAATTTCGTTTTTTTTTTTTTTTTTTTTTTTTTTTTTTTAATACGCGCTGTCACGAACCATCCTTTATTATTATTGTATTTCCTGATTAGGCTGCACAAATAATAACAACAGTCTAAAATTTCTCTGTTGTTGAATCGTTCACGGAACGTTTGGGAACGATTTTTGTCCATTGCAAATACGTTATGTAAATGATCGATGGTTGAGAATATCAGTAATTATAAATATACCTTTAAATGTACCTAAATGAATACTATATATATATATATATATAGTAATCTATAGTTGTGTTTACAAAACATCGTGTCGAGCTAAAAAGCTTTAATTTCGTATGTAGGCTATAGACACATGCTATATGATGTACATATCTATATCTTGTTTTGAAATTATTTTTTTAATAACGACGCGTTCGTCTTTATAGCAAAAATTAATTCGTTTTATTTGTATCGAATTTAAATTATTATTAACACATTTTCTATTGGACGAGAATGTTTTTTTCTTTAACAAGTTTAAATCGTTTTAATTCTTTGAATACATAGTTTTATATATATATGTATTGACTTAGTCAAGTAGTTAATTCAGTATTAGACTTAGTGATTCTTCGATTTCTCTAATACTCGAGATGTGCTATAGGATATTATTTTTCAAAAAATTGCATTTAGCTAGATGTTTAATTTTTTCCTATATTAATTAGCTAGGAACTAGGAACTATTGTTTTACTTTGTTTAGTAAATTGAATTTTGAAATTACCAATTGAGGTAAAGATTTATATAAATTAATTAAAAGTAAATATTATTAAAATCTACAACTATTATTTGCTTTTTTCGCATCGATATTGTTATTACCCCAGTTAAAAAATTAAAACATTTTTCGGATGTGGCAGGGTTAATTCAGCTTATATCAAATATATACTCATAGTAAAATAGTTATGATAAAAAATACAAAACTTAATAATATTACACTACCGATTGAAATTCGAATTTATTGGTTATATCAATGAAAATACCTCATTTTTTCAAGGAAAGGGCTTGCAGTTCCCATTGATTGTTGTTCTTAATAATAATATTACTAATTACATTTTTGTTCCATACAGAAAACTTAATCACTGTAATAATCATTACTAATTTTTAGATCCGGCTAATCGGTTACTATTATGAGACTATTGCGCATAATATTTACTAGAAAATAGTACACCAGCAGCTAGTGTTAACTATAATACCTTCTTTTTGTACTGACAGCGATATGATATATTACAGTCGATCTGTTTTATAATTTTAAAACGATATTCTATTATAATTATATTTTATAAATGCAAATGTGTGAAGTTCTGAAAACGGGACTTAAGCCAATTATGGCTATACACAGTCTTATAAGATATATTATAACCTGAATCGAAAAATACTATCAATAGTAAACTACGTTTTATAATTTTTTATTATAATAATTAAAATAAACTATCGACATTTAAATGTCTGAAAACAAAACATCAAATTAGTCACAGCGAGCTTCTCGGCAACACATCATACTCTGTTTAGTATACATAGTAGAACGTAGAAAATAAAATATAATATTTAGCAAAAGTTAGTGTACAACTCCGAAATACTGTTGCAGCTGGCAGCGGAATCATGCAACTGTTTTCTTAGATTTTAAAATAAGCTCTAATAATTAATAATTAATAATAATAACTAATAATTGCGTGTTTAAGAAAGGCGCAAAGATTTCGTTGTGAATATACATTTTTATAAATTTTGTATGGCGAAATCGAATCCGTGTGAAATGAGTCGAATACTCCGTGGGTTCAATTTATTTTAAGTATAACAGTTCAAAGTTTATAACGTTACAAATGTTAATACTTCGAAAAAAAATATTCATATTTTGTAATCCTGTTACCGCCATCTAAGCGTCACGTGCTCCAGATATTTTATTTCACATTGTCTATTTATTACATTAAACAATATTCAACAAGATACTAAGATATTATAACGGATTCTTAAATTTTAAATACATAAACAACCAATGAAAATGAATTTTTTCCAGAAAAATATCACACTTTTTATAGAATTTAAACATCTAATAATAATATATTTTTAAACCATCTAAAATCAGATATTTTTAGTATTTTGTGCATTGTGTGTCAATTTTGATTGTGTATTAAGAATTTTGTCTTATCAAGGTTTGTATTGCAATGAAAAATAACATTTTTCACCTATTTCAAAATGTATATTAATTGTGTAAGTATATAACCACTTATCTATGAATAAAATAATATTCCATTAATTTAAATTTGATTAGAATTATATTTTTTTACATTTTGTTTTGTTTGAAAAAATCGAAATTAAATATCTATAGTAGGCATTCTACATTTATTAGATTTCAATAAGACATGATGTATCACAAGAGGAGTATTAAACCAAAAAAAAGATGATGTAGAAAATAAAATTGATGTACATTGAAAGGTGATTTTACGAACATCTCTCTCAATGGAAAAAATTACCAAAATATATGTATTCCAATGTATTCTGACCGTCTATAACGGACACTTTATATTATGGACACGGATACTAATATTTTACCTCAGTGATTTCATAACGCACAAAAATCTTAATGAAAATCCAATTATAATAATAAGTAATATCATATGATTGATTTTAGATAACATTTGCCCTGGATTAAATAATGTCGATGATCAGCAACAAGCTGATAACCAACCAGAAAATTCTGAAATGAAGACGTTTGAAAATTATTTAAAAGCTCTTGAATAGCTCGAAGGGACCGAAGGAAAGGAACTTGAACTGAAGGAGTTTTATTTGAAAAAAGGTGACGAAAAAGGGATTTAACACGTGAGAAAATTAAATATTTATCACGAGTTGAAAATGACCAAACCGAAATTAAAAAAATCAACATCGATAGTATAATTTTGTTAGAAATATTAAAATTAAATCAACGTTTTTTATACGAACAATATTATAATAACGACGAAGTATATTTAAATTATATAACATTTAAATGTTTCAAATTAAAAAGATACGTTTTTAGATTGGTTTGACTTTAAAAACACCGAAGCCTATCCGCAACGGACACCTGTCTATGACGGACGATTATTTTAGTCGCACGGCTGTCCGTTACATACAGGTTTCACTGTACGGCGTATACGTACACAAGGTATCTCGGGTCCTTCTCTGCAAATGACGACAACGAACAATCGATATTGCCGATAAGTTTATTTTTTGTACACTTTAGAGCGTTTCGGACTCGAACCGTTTTCGTTGGGACTCGACCGGCAACCGTATGCGCGTGCGCTCGCACGTTCGGATACACCGTCGGCGGCGGGCGCGCACGAGCGCGGAACAGGTTGCGCCGCGGAGAGAGTGCCGGCGCTGCGGCGGCCAGTGAAAGAACCGCCGGAGACGTTCTCAGTTTTCGTACAGGTGTCGACTCGCGAGGGTTCGTCCACCGTTGTGTGTATTACGTGCGCTCGGGCCCGACGGCATAACGTAACGATAATTGTTCGTAAGACGACGCGATCGTTTTCTATCGTCGTGAGATCGTTATAATTTTTTTTTTTTTTCCGAGCTCGGGGTGTTGACGGGTTTATCGTTTTAAAAGGTCCCGTTTAAAAGGATAAGTTTCGACTTATCCGTTTAGTCTGTTCGTAGAAATTGATATTTTCCCCTCGTTCGCGCTTTAAGTCTGTGCGCGCGGATGAACAGTGTTCGGTGATCGGCGCCTCGGATGAAATCTTAGTGTTTATCGCCACTTAAAGTATACTTATACAAAACACTTGAAGTCTCCGCTTCCGCGGTAAACGAAGATCGCGGGGCTAATGTGATAAATCTCAACAGGTAAAATATATTTATTTTATTTATTCATTTTTTTTTTCTCGTAAGACAATTGTATTAAGTCTATGACGAGCAAACAAGACGAGAAATGGTTTTACAATAATTATTAGATATCGAATATTATCGTCGTGGGCGTGCGCAATGGTTTACATAACTTTTGAAGTTATCCATAATTTTCTCTCTGTAATCTGGATGAATAAATAAAAATAAAAATAAACTATACGTTATTATTGAAAATTATATAAGGCGTTGATTTTATACGTATTTTATTATAAAAATTCAAATAAAACTAAAAAAAAAAAAAAAAAAAAAATAAGTAGGTAAATACAGCATATTACTACAGTTAACTTTATTTTAATTTAAAGTAGTTAATATCAAAATAATGTGTTGGTCAATGATTACTATGTTTGGCACTCGTTTCGCTTCACCCACTTCAGCACAAAACAGTGCCGGTATACACGTATTAAAATTTTTCAATTTAAATGTGACACTACTATCACTTTCGAAATACAGTTTTACATGTAGCTATTGAATTAATGATTGATCCAAAAATTGTTAAAATTTCTACTCTTTGACCTCAAATTAGTTTTCAATATAGTTTTTAAAAAATATTAAAAACTTAAATAACGATTATTTTTAGGAACAAATATTGTGTTAACATTTTCAGCCTATAAATATGTTGCAGACAACTATTTGAGTTATTACCCTTAATTTACTTAGAAAAAACAAAGTCCATGTTACAGCACTTAAGTTCAATTAAGAATATAAAGTTATATGATATATTCAAGATTCCAAAAAAAAAAAAAAAATAATTAGGTAGGCGTTGTATGCGATAATTATATGTTTTAATAATATTTTTAATTCAAATTTTTGTTATAGTTCCCTATTATTAGTGTTATTCTACTAACCTACACTTTTAATTGCTCTAATTAATTTCATTAGGTTTTCTTTTTTTTTTTTTTTAAATTATTATTTAAATTACATACATAGAATGAAAATATTAAATTTCACGCAAATCGAATAAAACGATGATTGAATGTAGGCAGGAAAATATAGTTTTTGTACAATCCATGTTTGCGTCAAATCGTATTGAACTCGGACGACGGTTCATAAGATCATAATTTTGAGCGTTTACAATTATAATATAATTGTATAATATTATTATGTCGTGTAGTTTACGTGGACAACAACATATGATTACAATAATGCTTAAAGGGCGTGAGTTTTATGATTTATAACAATCGTATCCGGCGGCACCCAGTTAAAACAAATATAACTCATTATTTGGTGTACATAGGCCAAGTACATACTACAATTGGACTGTAAAAACAGAAACGAAAATAAAAACCGCGTAACTTATCGAAAAAATGTCCATTTATTTTATTCTGGTTTTATTTTTCTATCTTATCATACCTTCTATACGTACATATTATTTTGTTACGTTAAATACCAATATGAAACACGAAAATTTCGCCATACCGCGGTACGTTCGTGTTTTCAAGAACGTTCCTGCGCACTGCAGTACCAGCAGCAGAACTGAGTGAAATGTTGCTGTTGCTGCCGCTGTAGTAAGCCCGCAAAACCGCATCGTTCATTTACGCACTCCAGATTCGTACACACGTATACGCGTACATAGCGCGGATTTCAATAACGCAGTTTCGTTGTCGTTTTCTCACACGTTCGTTTTATATATCTCATCCGACAAGGCACTTTCGATCACGTAAGTCGTGTACACCGCACCGGGTGTACAGCATGTACGGTATTATAAACGTTGTTCACGTATACGACGCAGATAAATGAGAAGCCGTCGGCGGCGTCCTCAGATTCCAACGAGACCGCGCCGCAATCTCAATGTCGAGCGTGTTTGTACTGTATACTCTCTATTCGTTCGCGGGGAGACGACGGCGACGAACACACGAACAACAGCACGCAAGGTCTATATTTTTATGGAAAACGGTATTTTTACCTACCGTTCGCGCGCCCCCTGGGCTCGTTCCCCGTCGTGGAAAAAAATCTATTATGTTTGAACGCGCACACACTCGGTAAACATTATTTTATGTTTACCTATTTTCAACTCGTGTTCGTGTGAATCCACAGACACGCCGGCGTGGCTTGCGTTCGATGTTTGTAATATTCACGTATATAACCTAGGACCTGGAATGAGAGTAAACGTGCGACGACCGCGGGTAATTTTCAATTTGAACGTCGAAACCGTCGTAGGCCTACACTGTTATTATTGTCGGTCGGGTTTTTGGAAACTGAACAGAGACACCGGCGCGGGCAATCCCTGCGGTTGCTTCTCGTTTCGTCGGCGGCGTCCGTATTGTTTGCCAGCGCGCGCATGGCTGCTCACTGGCCGATGTAATTGCATTCGGTTTTGCCGCGTGTAAACAATGTGGAAACGAGCGACGGTCTTCCGGTCCGCGAATCCGGCTCGCTTCGTCCCGGGCACGGAGAACAGTGATCGCCGCGGGCCGACATTTGATAATTGCCGAGAAAAACGAAATGAATCGTGCAATTACGATAAGATCCGACTACGGCGACGCCGCCGCCGTTGGTCGGTAAGCGTTTGCGTTTTTCTTTGCGCTTTTTGTCGGAGCGCAAAACGAGGGGAGGAAAAAAAATAACGTTTCGCACTGCGCCGGCACACACGCGCGCCAAACACATTTACCGCGTGGGTGGCAATTATTTACCGTCACCGTAACCCCTCCCGACCGCTTTTGTGAAACGCGAGTCGGAATGAAAGCCGTGGACCGACTGCAGCTGCATCCACGGCCGAAATATTATGATATTTTATTTTTTATTTTTTTACGAAATTATATGTCATTACGTATTGGAATTTTCGAAATTTTGTTTTTTTTTTTTTTTTCCAACTCGCGCATGAAGATCCGTGGATACCTAGGTAGTAATAATAATATCACGCGAATTAAGGACCATGGGAGTCGTCGATGTATTGGACACGAAATAATAATCGGTCGTAAATCAAATTTTTTGGTACGTTATAATATTATTGTACTATCGCATCACCGCGTTTTCGAACTCGAACTACTCCAAGTATGTCTTAAATGGACATGCGATTCCATCAACTATCGCAATATTGCACGCATTCATTACGGGTATTATCTGCTCCGCTTGTGCATCGCGGCAACAACGAATTCAAACCGTTAACGGAAAAGCGTACATGTTTCCTTCCCGTGGTCATCTGAAAGTGAACAGTGTACACGAAAACGATATAATCCTTCACAACTCGTACGTGGCGTGCGAAAAAAAAATTGAAATTGGTTTGCGACACTCGAAACGGGTTTGATCTCGTTGCAGTTTGTCGCAGCGAAGGAATGAAAGTATAAATTCGTTTTTACGTTCGATGGTGTCGATGGGTTTGATTGGGTTTACATAATGTGAATTTACCAGTTTCCATTTTCGATAACCTACTGACTGAATTATCGATGGCGAAAAAACCGAATTACATTAATAATAATAACAAAAATAATAAATAAAACTTTCTCGCACTCGTATATTGTAAACCAAACGTGTACGCGATGATATGCAAATTAAAAAAAAAAAAAAAATCTTTTGTAAACATCGTCGACTGAATGATGTTATTTACCGTCCGGTTCTCGCGCTTCTTCTCCACCGGACCGGGCCTTATTGGCATTCATAATTAATACTATATCATTTCGGTGTTGCATACATTTAAAAAGCGTGTGTTCGCCCGTCGATTGGACACGATTTCCCGGACAGCGTTCTTACCGGTCGGTTTCGTTGTAAGACGCGCGCACGTAACACCACCGCGGTGTTATCATCATTCCGTATTTATTGTTATTTATATTGACTGCTATCAACGTGTAATTGAATACGATTTCCCACGCCCCATTAGCAAGACGTACTCGCGGGGTAGCAATATCGGCTTGGCATCGGCAGTGTGTCTTCCTTCGTAATATTAACAATAATATTATTGTTTACGCTCATAACGTTTTCGGGCAATCGCGCGCTCGCCGATGTGGGTCACACATAGCGCACAGCATTTTACGCCGTGACAAGCCGCGACCAATCGCGAACTATGGGAACGTTAAACAGATAAACACGAGAATAAAACATGTAAATTGCTCCGAATAAACGGTGATTACGGGCTGTGCGAAAATCGCCAACTTGCGCACATACGTATATACACGTGTGCATTTAAATGTGTTACGAGCGGAAAGCACGAGCGGTTTGCGAGCATACGGTGTGCGGTACGGTTTAGCTAGCGAGTTTCCATTCGAAGCTGTAACATACATAGGCGTGTGTACTTGTCGCTCGCGTCGGATTTTACCGTCTTTTACGCCGATGCCTCGGTGTGGTTAACGCCATTTATGTTTATTGTACAACCACGTGTATAACAATATGTGCGTGTACTCGATAGTTTTTATTTTTCTCGTTACTCGATTACTTAAACGGCTCGATGCGCCCCGCGCGTTACAGTTTCGAAACCGTCGCGATCGTTCGGGCGAGCGAGTGAGATTTTAATATGATACCTATATATATATACATTATTCTTATTGCATTCGTAGCGGTGACGTGTGCGGTTGTTTGTGGTGACGCCGATTAAAAAAAAAAATGGAAACACGATCTTTGCCGATGTACAGTCGGTCTGTTGCGTAATCTTTGGTGCTGTTGAAGAAGTTCTCGGACCGAAACGGAGACCGTTGTGCGTGCGTGTGTGTGTGTGTGGTTGGTGGGTGCAACGTGTATTGCAGTAGGCTCTGCGTGGTTTCGAACAAGTTGTCAACACTCGAGAAGTAAAAGAAATAATAATAATAGCGAGGAAAAAAATTACTTTTATTTTTCTTTTGTACAAGCTGCGCTATGGTCTCGTCGTTTAACCTCGTCTAATTTACGCAACGAGAACGTCGCGTACAATATCATATTATTCCGTTGCTGTTCAAGAGTTACCGTTGTTTCGCGTGCAGGTGGCCGCTGAGATTTCGACGGAATGCGTTTGACGGAAGCACAGGAGACAATAC